GCACCGCATTTCGTATTCGAGTCGAAACTCGAATACCATCTAGTTTTTTTTTTTTTTCTTTCTTTTATACTATACGTACGCATCAAAAATTGTCATTTTGTGGCTCTATGATCTCATGAACAAAAAGTCGTAAAATAGTCGTTGAAACGGGAGCTTGAAGAGTCGAGATCGAATTCATACCATTTTTAGCCGAATCATCTATAGAATCCATAGTTCGTCTACAATCGAAGCTCCAAAAACATAATTTTGATGGAGTTTACTTTAGAGATAATTAAAACGAAAATTCAAAAAAAAAGTTAGGCGCCAATTTGTTCAGTCATATATCAAACAGCTGTGAATACAGCTGATAGTAGATAATGAATCGCTGACATAATTAATTGATCAATACAAAACAATTTGTAGAAATCGGTCGATACGCTTTCATAGAGTTTCTGAAGTGATGAATTTCATAATGGACGCGTTTCATTTCAGATCTAGATGAGATCAGCTGTTTGATAAAGATGTTTGATTAAAACATCCTTGGTTATCTTAGAACCTTTTACGTAGATTGTGAGAACTAACTCACATGATATGTAGAGGAATTATTCGATTTCGATTCAAAATTCGTTATTCCGATTCTCGGCGCGTGTGCTTCGCACCGCATTTCGTATTCGAGTCGGAACTCGAATACCATCTAGTTTATTGAGAAAATCGAATTTATTTTCTAAGACTTACTCGAAATATTTAAGTTCATAATGCTTTTCTTTTTTTTTTTCGTAGAAGTATCTCGTTTAAATACTCAGGAAACATGGGAATTAGAATATGATGAACAACTTGGTTCACATACAAAATTACCAAACTTATTTCATGATATGATTGTCACGAAAGCAAATATTATCTATGAAAATGTTCTTTCTGTTAATGTAACAAAAGGTGAACGAAAAGTTAGTATACATATATATATATATTGATCTATTTCAATAATATAAAAAAAAAAAAAAATATTTTGTCTTTTAAAGTTTTTTGAAGATAAAGAAGCAACAAAACAAGCAGCTATAGCTGTTTATCGTTTATTAGGTGATTTTGCATCTGTATTTCAAATTTTAATAAAAGATTGTTCATCATCAACATCAAATTCAATTGAACCATTATCATCATCAACAATAATGATAAATTCATCTGAACATTTATCTAAAACAATGTGTTTAATAATAATATTAAATAATTTTGCTTATACACGTCGTTTTATACTTCCACGTTTAAAAAAACTTTTTCTTAATTATAGTTTTCGTGGTATGGATCGTGTTTATGATGAAACGGAAATTATATATAATCGTGTTGATGAACAATTATTAGATACAGTACAAAATGAATATCTTCGTCCATTTTTACATCGTTTAGAATCTCGTATGTATGCTGGAAGATTTGATTGGGCAACACATGTACGTGTTATATCAGTTAAAGATTATGTTAAACATATTATACTTGATTTAGCACGTGTACATTCTGAAATATATTCTATAAGTAATCAATTAGTATTTATTGTTTTATCACGTATATTAGCAACATTAGTTAATGAATTAGCTAAATTATATTCAAATATAAATCAATTTAGTAAAGCTGGTAGTATGCAAGCATGTTTAGATTTAATTGCTTTACAAGAATGTCTTGGACGTTGTATGGAAACAGGAACATCAAATAAATTAAAAGAACTTATAACACAAATACCTGATGCAGCTGAACATATTAAATCAAAAGCATTAACTGATATGTTAAATGTTTTCTTAAAACAAATGCAACCATATTCAATTGCTTTTCGTGATGTTATACAACAATGAATGAATTATAATAAACTTAGAAAAAAAAAACAATTATTCTTAAATATTTGTATGATTTTTTTTCTGGATTAGGTAGATCATATGTAATTAATGGAAGTGTTATTTAATTTTGTTTTTCTTTTTCTCTTTTATTGTACATTTTCCTTACTTAATTGATTCGGAGATATTGAATTTAGATTTAAAAGTGTAGATTCTTTTTTTTTTATTACTGTTAAGAAGGAGAGTTATATTTGGAAAAATTTATTTAAGAATAATTAGAGTATAAGAAAAGTATATCCAAATTGGAAAATCTTTTTTTTTTCATAGTGCTGTCTTTGTTCGCATTAAACTTAATTATTAATTTTGAAATTTAAAATATTATTATAAGAACAAAAAAATTTTCCATATAATTTAAAAAAAACATATCTCTTCACTAAATAAAATAAACAATATTGTATTTTTTTGTCATTTTATTTTTATTTCTAGATTTATAATGCTATTAATTTTTAGCAAATTTTTGCAACCAAATTTTCCACAAAAAAGTGTATTAAGTTTATCAAATGCTATTGTTGGTGCATCTATTCTATCAATGGCATATTGTTTTCAACAAGTAATTGAAATTTTAGTTTATTCAGTATTTAAAAAAACTAAAAATTCGAATTTTTTTTTCATTATTAGTGTGGAATTATTTTAGCAACATTATTAATGATTATTTCTGCATTAATTACATCATATTCATGTAAAATTCTTATTGCAAGTGCTCAAACAACAAATTCAACAACCTATGAATATTTAGGTTTACGAGCAATGGGTGAGAATAAAAAAAATCAAATTTGAATGAATTTAATTACTTTTAAAAAAGATAATAGGACGTTCAATGAAATTAATTGTGGAATTAAGGTAATTTTATTTCAAAAATAAAAAAAAAAAAGAAATAATTCTAAAAAAAAATTCTTTTTTTTAGTTCCATTGGACTTCTATTTGGTTCAATTGTAGCTTATCAAATGATTATTGGTGATCTTGGTTCAGTAGTTGTTTCACAAATATTTAATATAACGGTGAATTTTGAATTAAATTTTATCGAATTTATTCATATTCTTTTTTTCAGTTTAGAATTCACCATTAATAAGAGCTTCAGTAATCTTAGTATTGACATGTACAGTTTCATTTCCAATAAGTTTATCTGAAAGATTTGATCATTTAACACCAATATCAATTCAATCGATTTTATTCTATCTTCTTTTTGGCATTTATGTAATTATATAAAATAATTAAATAGTAAAATTTAATATTTGTTTTTTTTTTTTTTGTAGACTTTTACTCAATTATGGTCAAATGCAATGAAGACATCATTTAACATTAGTAAACTTGTTTATTGGAGATGGAGTGGATTATTTGTTAGTTTACCAATTATATCACTTTCATTTTCATGCCAAACGTAAGGATATTAGTTGATGGAAGTTTACTACTCATAGTTTATCCGGATTTCGAAAGTCTAACCATGGAATGAAAGAACCAGAGATGGACAATTTCACTAAGTGCTGCTCCAACTTCATTTCAGATTCATGTCAACTTCAAAGTTACCTCCAGTTCTGAGCTAGAGTTGCCCATCGGCGGAAAGAACTTAACATGTTAAGCATTCTGTGTAAAGAGATTTGATATGTTATTGAAAAATCAACTTTGAAATGTTGATAATTAGAACAAACATAGTATAACTCTATATGACGTTCAGATAAGGTTTTCTGATCTTTTACTGGCAAAACAAAAGTTAAAATCGGAAACATGTTCATGAAGGTCGATGTATACTTTTCTTTTTTCGAGTTTGATCGACAAAGGAATTCGACTGAGTCTATCTCTTATTCTCTGATGAACTTAAAACTAGACATGAGCAGGATCATTTTTCTCTATACCTATTTAGAACACATGAGCTATGACAATATGACATTCGATGCAAGTTTTACACGACCAGAAAAGGTACCGTTCCTAATGAAAAATGATTGGTTCTAATTCGGTCCCGGTTGGACAAGGACCGGATCCATCTTATCCATATCTACTTAAAGTACTTAATTTCGCGAAATATTTCTCTGTAAATAAAATAATTGAGATTTTGAATCAGAAAGTTTGTCGAAGTGTACGTAAGCTGTTCTATAGTGCTTAATATTTCATTCAGTATGACGACTGAGAGAATGGTACCCTTCCAAAGATCGGATTGGTCCTTCCAGGGGTCTGGTTATTATATCATGTACTATGTATCTATGCTCTCAAAAATAGGTGTTCGCTCTTCCTGAAAAGAACGTCTGAATAAAATACTGATTGTTAAGTTTTTATGTGTAGTCTAAATGATAATTCGATTTGAGAGTATAGTTATGTCATTTGAATGAAGACTGTTGGCTATAGACTTTTAAAGAAGAAATATTTGAATATTTTCGGAGTATGTATAAATCTAAGTCAATATTAACGAAATAATAACATGACGTGCATATGTAAGACTTCATATTTTCACATAATAATAAGTGTTTGTGGAACTCAGGTATATTTTCGAAGAAAATCATAGTAACTGAAAGTTTAAATCGAGTTTTTTCCGGCTTCCTTCTCTAGGTCCTCTCCATTACAGACCTTAGCAACCAAGATTAAAGTTATTGAACGATATTAAGAACAAGGCTTAAAAGATTCTAGAACATTCCAAAAACTTCCTTGTGATTTAAATAGCTGAAATAAGTTTATCAATATTCTAAATAATATAGTTTCCCATTTTTCCGCAGATAAACGATTATATTCAAGATATCAAGGATGATGTATTGATTTTCCATAACTGTCATATGATCAACACAAGAGCATGATGCGATTGAGTTCTAACTTTTGGGAATAATCCATTTCAGTCTTACTCAGTCTATCGAGATATATAGTAGATCGTTAAGTTCTGCTATAGATATAATGAATATGTACGACAGGCTTATTTGCTTATGAAATCAATGGTTTGACTAACAATAATAAATTATGAAAATTTAATTAAAAAAAAGGGACGCTGGCTCAAAAACAAAAACAGAGAAAACAAAATTTCTGTTCGAAATGTAGAAATAAACAAGACATCATTTGCTGGTAATCAATTATCGTTGGAAAATAAGTATCTTCTTTCACAGATTTTACACTTTATGTATTTTGTATTAGCTTAATGAAACTAAATAAGACATGTGAGTTTCAAATTTCAGTTCCAGAGGAGCTGTGCTAACAAACTTTTACTAGTTGAGTATTTCTCAGATTATACATCTTCCAATTCATTATAATTCGTAGGTCTCAAATAGAGATTTGTAAAATAATAATAACAAGAAATTCTTATATATCAAATATAATATCGATAAAAAAAAGAGTGACTCTCAATGAAACTATTTGAATTTTAAATTTTAGAATGTTATTCGTAGTTTTTTCGGAATTATCTGATTCAACATCACATGCTATGAATGATATTATTGACTTATCAGTTATACTTGTCGGATTTATTTATTTTATTGTAAGATAAAATTATTTATTCAAAATAAAAAACAATACATAATTTGTTTTTTGTGTCTAGTCTGGTCTTTTTGGTTATTTGGCTTTTTTTTCAATCTATGAATTCATTCCCGGAAATATAATGCAAATATTTCCAAAAAATTTATTTCAACAAATATTTTTATGGGGTTTTATACTTAATTGTACGACTGGTATTCCATTTATGGTTAATCCTACACGCGGAAGTTTATTTACTTTATGGAATGATCGAGTAAATATGAATTTTTTATCATATTGAATAGATCTATTAATTTGTTTTTTCTTCTAGCAACAACAATCTCTTTTCGGTGAACGTCATATTATACCTCGACGATTATTAATTATATTTACAGCAATTGTCGTTTTTCTACCGACATTGATTGCATTATGTATACCAAATCTCGAATTTACATTAGCATTAACAGGTGCAACAAGTGGACAATTAATTTGTTATATACTTCCTGCAATAATTACTCTTCATGTGATGCCAAATGGAATAGATATTCTTAAGATAAAAGTTTGAATATCGTTCTTTTATTTTTAATAAATTAATAAATTATTTATTTAGGCATTAATGATACTTGGAATAGTTTCATTAATTATTTGTACTATAATGACATTTGAAAAAGAAATTGTAGATAACAATAGTATGTAGTTAAATGTTTTATCTATAAAGAAAAAAAAAGAATATATATATATATATATATATATTTATTTTTAGTTACATTATCATCATCTATTATAACCACGAGTATTAGTAATGTTATAAAACCCACGGTAGAAACTAAATAATAAAATTTATTTTTATTATATTTGTTATTGTTGGTTTTCTTTTGTGTTTTAGAACGTATCGATAACGAGTTTATCTGACGAAAAAATTTATGATAAAAACTAACTGCCATTTTATTTTATTATTAGTTATTTGTTTTTCTTTGTGATTAAAAGATATTTTAATGAAACATTGTTTCATAAATTATGATCTTAAGAAAATAAAGAAAAATTTTATCGTTCAATGAATTGTTATTATACATGAGATAAATTTATGTTTGATTAAAACAATTTAATAAAATAGATTTATACATGTTTATTTGAATTCAAATAAAGAAAACTAATGATCTTATCAATTTGATAATTTAAATTGAAACTTTCTTATATAGATTTTCAATCAGATTATTTGCAAAAAAAAAAGAGAATAAAATCAGATAAAGAAATAGTAAATTTATTTTTGATTCTCTTTGTTTTTCTCTTCAATAAAGATCTAAGATTAACACAAGCAAATATTTAATATCATTAGAATATTAAATAGCCCGAAATAAATATTGATTTCCATTAGATTAACTGCGTAATGTTTATATTCAACATATTGTTTAAACGATCTATTTGATCTTTCTATTTTTGTTTTCTCATATAAGAATTAAAACACAGTCATTTTCTAAAATTAGAATCGTTTTATGTCAATCTTACAATGTCATTAACCAAAATATAATTAGTCATTGATCATCTGTTGACACCTATCAACTCTACTCAATTAATATCTGTCAAATGCTAAAACATCTGTTTAGAAAAGATTTCCATATGGGAATTCCCTATCTTTTTCTTAAGATCAGATAAATGTATTGTGCCTAATATCTATCTATACGGATTACTAGTAAGAATATTAATCGATCTATAAGATTGAAGAGATCATTAAACTCATTATTGTATTATAAAAGGAGTTGTTTTATCATCATTGATGTATTAAATCAATTTTCGTAAGCAATCTAGTTGATACTGTATTGAAGCACTATATTATTTGATAAATAACATCACGATAAATCAAGTTAAATTCAATTTATTTACGGTAAAATCATAAAAATTTTTGATTTTTATTTCTAACAATACCTATCAATTAAGTGAATAGCTAGAAGCAGAAAATTCCATTTGAGAATCATTACAATTACAATGTTTATTTTAGTGACAGTTCAAAGAAAGTGACAATTAATATATTGCAATAACTAACCATTGAATAAAATTTATTCACATTAACAAAAAAAAAAAGCAATAAAAATCGTATAATCTATTATTACTATAGAAAGTCTTGAAATTAACTATATTAGATAAAATGAATTAATTTGATCGATTTTTTCGCGTTACTTAACATCAAAAAGGAACTTAATATATTTAAGTCCTATTCAAAGATATATATATATTTGCCCATTATAGAGACAATAAAAAAGAAATGAATCACGCATATATACGTGACACATTTTCTCAAAAAGAAATTTATTTTAACTTAGTTGAAAAGGGTTATTTTTGTCTTTCTTCTTTTTTATTTTTCATATTCACACATAATCAATGAAAATAATTAAAATCTTTTTTTCTTTTAGCATATGTCGAGTGTCATTATTTACTAAATCGATGTCAATCGATACAATAAATCTTTGTTTTTTTTTTCATTCTCGTCTTATTTGAGTAGACTTATTCGTTTAAATAAATCTTATGGAAATCAACTTCTTATCTCTTTTTTTCTTCAATTCTGTATATGTCTATGAACAATTGATATATTCATACGTCTCTTTGGCGTGGAACTTTGCATGTCTGCTGTTCTATGCGCACAATATGATATTAACTTGTTGTGCGTTCATACACGCAAACATCGTCAGATTTTTTCTTTCGCTTTCTCGCGTATTCTGCTTCAGCAATTCTCCTTTATTTTTCTTCGGATCGACTAACAAATTAACATTAGACTACTGGTTTGTAAGAATCACTTTGTGCAATAGTACCGACAATGCTAAATCCCGAAAAACGTAAAGAATAACTGTGCACAAACAGATGACGATGATGTTTTTCTTGCATAGTAGGCATCTATATACATTTTCATTATTCACGTTTATCGTTTTGCGTTCATCTTTAGTAATAGAAAATCGGAAACGAAGGAGGATGGATAAAATAAAGGAAGAGAGAGAGAGAGAGAGAAAAAAAAGAGAAAAAAATATCATTAACTAGTAGAGATTCCAGAAAGAAAACAAAAAAACAACAATCTATTGGAAATTGAGATCATAAATTTCTTTATATATTCATGATATAAAGAATGACAACAAACTTTTAAAGATTATGGTTATTTTTGTCCTGCATTACTATTATCATTTACTAGTAAGAACAAGTTCGATCTTTTTTTGTTTCTTCAAGATATTTAGTAATTAGAGAAATTTGAATGTATAATTATATATACGACTAGTTTATGATACTTTCCTTTCCATTAGGGAGAATATGAAGAGACAAAAAGAAATGAGAATATTAGTTCCGTTAATAATTATGCTATTTACTACAGTATCAAAAAAAATGACCTTTTCATTTCTTAAGTAAGAGATCACACCAGGACAATAATAACAAAATCTTATTTTTGCTATCTTAACTGCAGCTTGAGATATAATAAGAAAGAATTTAGTTTATGCCAACAGCCATTTTTGATGAAATAGAATCATTGCTAGTTGTCATTAATGGGCTCCTGGCTATAAGATATGCCATCTAGATCTCATGTGTTTTTAAATGAAAGAGTATATTAAGCATGCAATATAGAACATTATCATTAGTGTCTAATCTAAAGCGCCTCTCAATATATAAATCTTATATAGTAGAGTTATTCATCTTTACTATTGTTTTTCTTGCTATTTTTAGTAATAGATCTTCTTGATAACGATATCCAAAAAAAAAACTTTCTATAATTTCTAATCAAAAATGAATTTTCGCTTTTTTTAGAGTGAGATATTTTATGCGTGTTTTGAAAATAATCTTCCAAAGTCATCTTTTCTTTCTTCGTTCTTTTGTGTCACATTCTTTTTCTTCATACTATATCACTTTGGTGTGCACATACTCGCGCATAGAGAATAATTGATTGTGAACATCTCACGCAAGCGAAAGAATGACTTCCGTACGTCATTCGCAGTCTTTTTCTTTTTTTCTTCTTTGTCTTTTTTCTTCTTGTTTTTTGTTTTTGCTATTATGATTGTCAGTTTTCTAAACGAATAATGAATGAAAATTTTCATTTGATTTGTCATTTTCTTGAGTTTTTAATTTGTATTTATTAAATATTATAATGATGTCTTGACGAAATTGACAGAAGTTTTATTATGTCAATTTATAATTAATAAGAATTAGTTAGTAGAAGGATGTACATGATGACTTCTTTTTTTTTTGAAGAAGATAGAAGATAGGATAATGGGACATACTTGAAAAATCATCATTTAATATAGCCAATAAGTACAATATGACTATAGTAATATTTAGTTTTCTTTTTATAAATAGAAAACAATTAATTGACATAAGAGTTTATTGATAAGAAAGAAAATCTGTTCAAGTTCTTTTTTTTTTGTCATATCTTTCATTCTTTTTTCCCACTTAGAAATTAACTTTCCTGATGTCATTGAAAATATTAGAAGTTGTATTGTTAATAATAATGTAAGATATATTTGTAGGAATGAGATTATCATCGTAAAAAACGAAAAACAAAAACTTTGTTTAATACTATTGTGAACATCAATTATGTTTTCATCAACAGCTTTTTCAGCTCTTCATTCTCATCAAAAATTATCACCATGTCGATGGTCATCATCAGCTCCATCTTTAGTTGGTGAACGTGGTGCTACAACACTTGGTATGAAATATTTTATAAAATTATTAATTATTTCAATCAATATTATTTTAATAATATATCTATATATATATAGATGCACCATCGCCGAGTCCATTTCATTCATATACTAATAGAAAGGCTCATCCGAAAAGACATTTGGTTTGTGCAATTATTTCATCTGTATTATTTTTTATCACCGGTAAGTTAAAATTAATGATAAAGAATTTTTATATAATTTCTTTTTGTTTTTTTTTGAAATCATATTTAAAAACAAAATTATTCTATTTAGGTATTGCTGCAGTTTATTATGCTGCTAAATCTTTACATTGCGAACGTAATGGATATTATGAACAAGCATTAATACATTCACGTCGTTCATTAGCTTGGTCATTAGCAACATATGTGATTGCTCTATTTATTTATTTGACTCTTGGTCTTATTCTTTTTATTCGACAAATTGATCATCATTAAAAGTAAAAAGGTATAACTAAACGTTTTCGTTTTGTTTTTTTGGTTCTTATTGGTGGTTTTTTTTCTTGTTTCGTCACATGCAGACAAATCAATACATATATATGTATATCTATTTATTTATTTATTTATTTATGTTTTCTTTGATATATAATAAAAATGTATATATTCTACTTGAAGTCATATAAAATAAAAATAATGAAATATTATATCGATCATTATTTGTAGTAGCATTACATGAAATGTACGAATTTGCATTGAACTCAATGTAGATATTTGTATATTTTAATGATCTTTCTTTCTTGTAAAAAAAAAACACACAAAAAAAGCAAAATTCTTTAATAAGAAAAGATTTCTTTTTCGAAAAATTTCCTAGAAAGTTTTCATTTGAGATTAATTGTCCTTCTTCAGTTATCTAATAAAATCGTTGCATGTCAGCTAATCGTAAATCAACACAAAATATTAATTTAATTGTACTATTAATCGCTTCTATAGATTTGAATGATGATTGTAAATCAATTATAACTGGATTTTGATAATGTATCATCTTCTAATAATTCAAAATAATGTTCAACACAAATAAGGTACTTGTTTCATACTAATTAATCTAATGTTAATAAATAAACATACAATGATAATGTATTTGCTAATGTTAACCATATTTGACAATAAGCAGCTGAATAACTATTATAGTCTTGTTGAGTTAATGAAAAGATACCAATTGAATGAATATATAAAAATTGAGAAGCAACATGATGATATCGAGTACTTGAAGCAGGTGGTTCAACAATAAGTAAATGTTGACCATGAATGACAAATTCTTCATTATATTCAATTTCCTTCATCATCTTGGAGTAAACAACAATGGAACATAATTTTGACTGAACTATCATGCATTCTATTATCATCTTTTGAATAATCTTTTTCGATCGAAAGTCAAGAAATATTCAATAGATTTAATGAATAAGATCATCATCATCATCATCTTGAAAAAGATTCTGTCAAGAACGTGCGATATTTTGCATTAACGAAATGAACCGTAATGATTATTTTTCACTTGACCTATAATATGCGTTTATGCAAGAAAACATATCACTGAAATCAATGCATAAATAAACATATAGAGAAATGATATATGTTTCTAATTGATTCAATTTTTTTTCATGATAATTTGCATCTTCTGAGACAAGAAAGAGTAATCAAAAGTTATATGAAAGATAAAAATAAACTATTTTTCTCGAACGGAGACACAATATAATAGAAGATATTAAAATTAATGAAATGTAATTGTTTGTTGGCGCATATTATGAACAAAATGCCTTGAAGCTTAAATATTTCTATATTCAAATTGGTTTTTCGAGGTTAGAACACACTTAAGGGTATCTAATTCTAATATTCGTGGAAAGAATACAAATGAATTTCTAATATGTTTTGATGCCTTAATGCATCGTTACCATTAAGATCAAACAATTTGGTATGCAAGTGTTAAATATTGATAAAATATTCTAGCTTAATATTATAAAACAAGGTCATTTGTTTTTACCAATACAAACATTTATTTGTCGATTTTGTTCTTTAATACATATTTGACTATTAATTAGATAATAATATTCATTTACTATTTCAAAACCTGTATAAAACCATGTTGATCGATAATCTATTTTTCTTTTCAAGAACTTCACGTCTATTTGCATTCATATAATATTTTTGATTGACTTTCAATATCAGAATTATAGCAAATAATAATTTATTTACCAATATTATCATTTATTGATATAGGTCAAACTGATCATTCAATGTCAACGAATTCTTCTGCTTCATATAAACTTCTTTCTTAATTTGTCCAATCATTGAAAACACATGATTGTTGTTTGAACATTTTCTTTTTTTATACATGCACTGAATGACATTATACATGAAGAGAAAAAACATCTCATAAAAAAATATTTACATTGAAAGTGTTTGATTAACTAGTAATGCATTTGATGTTAATGGTCGGAAGATATGAACACTAGATGCTTGAAATTCTGATCGAGAATTATTACTAAGGAAACCTGAATTATAAGAAAAATGCGAATAAAATTGGCAAATTTATGATGATTTTTAACTTATTTTGATACCAATAAAAACTTTGACTTGGAGATTCTTTAGAAAAAACTCTTGTTTAGATTGACAATGTATTCACGATTGCATTGAGCATCATTTTCAATTCGAAGATTCTAAAAACTAAGAGATCATATGTATATGTAATATGTTGATTTTTGTTGTCAAACCTGATTGTGTAAAATATATTCATCATTTTTTTGAGATTTTTATTTTTGGTTTTTCACATTTTTTTTTGATTAGCTAGATCAAGCAAAGTTAATTATAGTATTGAATATGAAACGAAACGAAACGACACGAAACATTACTTTTCTCTTCGAAGAAATAGGTGTTGAGACCAAATGATGATAAACTATTTTTAAAGATCAATTAATTTGAGCAATGCTATTTCGATCAGAAATTTTTTGTTTTTGTTGAATTTGAAGAAGAAATAAACTAGAAAAGACCAACGATAGTTAATCTATTCATTTTCTTGAGTTCCTAATCTCAGTCAAAATAGGTTTGCCTGTTGAACCACAAATTGTATAAGCTGTTGTGACAGATATACGGAAATGAGGGGAGTAAATGCTACGACAGTAATTGAAATTATATGTGATCTTATCCTTCGATTCGTATACATTGACTTATATTGGATAATTGACAGCTAAATTGAGGTGTCGTTGGTAGCTATTGACTATTTTCTGATAAAAGTTTTACATACACTTGACTGATAACATTCTAAAAAATACTGAGAAATATGCTCGCATTGATAAAATAAAAGAAAATATAGGGTTAATCAGCATAAACTATTACCGGTGATAACTAAAGATCCTCTATCTTAGGAATGTAGATATAATTACGATGCAAATCAGTGTACGGTAGTCGGTCGCCAGTTTCTTTTTCCTCTACACATAACTCGAAATCGCTATTTTGTGTCGTGTTGATCTAAAGATCGGAAAGTTTTACGATTTTTGTTCGGATGTTGTTACAGAGCTATATGTTCCTATAGGATCATCAATTTTTTTTTTCGAAACTTCAATATGAAGTCCCGTTTGTTCTCAATTCGTTCCGCAAACTGATAATTTTGAGGTGAGAACTCTGGTTTTTTTTTGATAGAATTAAAATTAGTTTCAGTAGCAGCAGTGATTAAATAGAATTTTACTGTCATCTTTTAAAGTTTTCCTTATAGCAAAGATCGGTAATTGAAATGTAAAATTTACTCGTCTGTCTCATATTTGAAACGAAACTTAATTGTTATAACTACGCATGAATACAATTGATTTAATTTATTTTCTAGTTAATAAAAGTTGTTGAGCATTGTTAGAAGTTTCATCGTGCTAGCTATGGATATGTCTGCTTTTGATTGATTAAACGAAAACCATATTCTTATAATTCCTTATTTTTAAAGAGAGTTTAATTTATTATGTGTTATTTCAAATTATTGTGTGTTGATTTTACTCAAATATAGGAAAATAATCAAAATCAATGAATTTTTCATAATCGAATTTTCATATTCGAGTATAGGTGTATTATGTTCTCGAAACGATGTCTCGGAGTGAATGTAAACAATGAAATAATGTTGCAACTGGATATAGAATACAACTACATAATAATTGAATCATGGAAGAGTATCATAGACGTTATGTCCTGTTTTTCAAATGAATTAATGATAATAGTTGCATATAGTTTTTCCTTGAAAATAGTATAAGACCATGGATGCAAAAAGTACTTTTTGTATCCTATGCTAGAATTAATTGATTTTTCATTTAAAAGAAAAATAGCAAATCTTGGTAACCGTAACAACCATCTCCGTATACTTTTCTTTGGTTTCGTATGGTACTGAACTCTCAATTGAGATAAAATCAATGTGCCCTAGTCTTAGTCCTCTCGGGTGTGGGTGTGGATGTGGACGTTGGTCATTTTCTCACATCCACACCCTAGTACGTGGTCTGCTCTTTTATAAATGACAATAATTTTAATTAGGCACCTCTTTTCTTCCAAAAACTTTGGAATATTTTCGTCATCTCCTATTCGAAAAACAAGCCGTTTTTACAAAAAACTGAAAATCATTTTTCGTTTTTCTTAGAATGTAGGTTCAACGATGTAGCGCCAGCAGAGTTCTATCATAGGAAGCGATAAAGCCAAATCTTTTTTTTTTTTGTTTGAAAGGTTGTGTTTAGGGGTAGCCCCCTCGTGGGTCTTTTTTAAAATAATCCTTCTTATTATCATATAAGAGAACATCTCTACAGAAACAGGGGAATTGTTTTAAGGGCTTTTTTTGAGCCATTGAGCTTGTCATTTCTTTTCTTCGCTTAAAAAGTAAGAATTTAAAAAAAAAGAGCCATGAGAGAAGCTGCATTCTGACATGCTCTTTCAAACAAAAAAAAATAAAATATCTAAGATGAAGGCCCATAGAGAAAACTTAGAGATACGATCGAGCTATTTTTGACCCCTGTTTGATGAATAGCTCTGTTAAACATCGTGCTATAAGGCTGAAAACTTTACTATAGTCATCGCTCACCAGCCATGTAATTTGGATGTTCCTGGCCTGAGATCAATTTTTGAGGGGAGAACCTTAAGATGATGTGTTAAAAAACAAAATACACCACAAGATGTAGCATGAAAAACTCTACAGTCTACAAAGAACAGCTTATTTTATATATGCACTTTTTGTTTTCCATATGAAGAAAGTTCTGTACGACTAATTTTCGATGCTTCGAAAAAGATAATTGTTTTTAACTGTATCTCATTGCATATTGTTGTAACTGTAGTACATGTCAATTGATCTAAATTCGACCAGCGATTACGACCTTCGCTATAGCTCGTTCATCGTGGCAATAAGAAAAGGAATTGATCGTGTACCAAACAATAATTCTTTCCGAAGCACCGAAATTTAGCTACACAGAACTTTCTCTATTTTGAAAACAAAAAGTACAACTATAAAACAAGCTGTTTTTTGTAAATTGTAGAGTTTTTTACGCTGCACATTGTGGTATACGTTGTTTTTTAATTCAGCGTACTAAGTGATGAAAAAAATGAACTGGAAAAAGAAACTTTTTTTGTCTTGGGAAGAGAACATCTTAGTAAAATATATGACTCATTCTTTCCTCGCAGGTTTTTTAATCACACATAAAATTCACTAATTGAGACTTTCATCTAATTTCTCTTTTATAATTTACTGCCGCAACATATTTTCCAATTCACCATGGCGATGCACAACGATTCAAGAACTATTTTTTAATTCACATATAACCTTATTCGATTCTATGATAGTTGTTCCCGCGACTCTTATTCTCCAACAATACGTGGTTTTCATGAGCAAGGAATAGAATTCTTATTGCTTATAAATACGAGATATAAATTTACTGCATTATGATGCAGAAATCATTAATAGAATAACAAATAACTTGTTAATTATACAAATAATAGAAATTTGATACAACTAAAACTAAGCAGCAATAACAGAAAAATAGAACTCACGTGTGGGTGTGGTTATGAATGTTACTGAAGAGAAGACTCGCACTCAGATCCACAAAAAGATTAAAAAACTGATGATTTTCATTCATTTCTTTGATAGATTCAACTTCTTTTTTGTAGTTATTTTTCCTTGAATTGTTTAATTTGATTAAAATGAATTTTTTTATAATTTGAAACTGATCAAACATAAGAAATCAGCTGTTTCTCCCTTGATTCTCACTGTAATTCTTTTTGTCTATAATATTATGTTTTCAATGTAGAAAGAATTTCTCAAGAATTACAAAAGTTCGTATAGAAATTTTGAGGTTTTAGATCCATGAAAATACTAAAATATCAAAACAACTATCAACAAAAGTTAGTACATAAAGAAGATATTATAAAATGTTTTTTGACTATAATCAAAATCAGAAAATTAGAATTAAGATATTGTTTCATTCGTTGTACAAAATCAATTCAATGCGCATAAATTTATTTTATTTCTTGATTCTGAATAAAAGAAAAATTCAATAAGAAAAAAAGAAATCAAAACCGAAAAAATATATATGTCCTACATAAAGAAAAACAAGATAAACATTATTAAGTCATAATTTATTATTATTTTGTTGTAATCATCTATGCCACTGTCACATGAAATGTTCGAATTTGCATTGGTGTAAGTCTAGTATTTGTATCTTTCAATGATTTCTCTTCTAAAAACAAAACTTTTAATCGCAAGATGATTTCTTATTGAAACAACATACCAGTAACATTCACGTGAGATGATTCCTTAGTATCAGTTAGCCAATCAAGTCGTCGCATATCAGATAATGGTAAATTAGCACTAAGTGTTAGTTCAACTGTATTAGTAATTAATCCTATGGACTTGAATATTGATTGTAAATCAAATGTAACTGGTTGTGAATATGTATCGTCTTCAAATAATTCAAAGTAATTCTCAACACGAATAAGATAATCTTTAGGTCCTAATTGATCTAATGTTAATAAATGAACATTTAATGGTAATGTATCTGTTAATGCTGACCATGTTTGATAATAAGCAGCTGAATAACTATTATAATCTTGTAGATTAGTTGCAAAGGTAGCAATTGGATGCATGTATAAACG